ATGTATAAATGGATAAAGTAGTTGAAGATAATACATTTTACTCAAAATGACAGGATTTTAAAATAATTGATATCTTCTTCAAAACATCAAAGTTTTTCCATTTCAAGTCTTCATGCTGTTTTAAAACATATATTACGTTATTCCCCGCCGTAGTGAATTGATGATTTCAGATTTAACGTTTTCTTAAGGATTCAGAAGTAACAATATGATCTGTTTTCACAATATACTGTGGACATAGATGGTTCTATACACTAGGCTACATGAAGACATACCTAAGATTTGCTTTGTTGAACAAAATTCTTTTTTTCTTTTTTTTTTTTTTTTGCGGTACACGGGCCTCTCACTGTTGTGGCCTCTCCCGCCGCGGAGCACAGGCTCCGGATGCGCAGGCTCAGTGGCTGTGGCTCACGGGCCCAGCCGCTCTGCGGCATGTGGGATCCTCCCGGACCGGGGCACGAACCCGTGTCCCCTGCATCAGCAGGCAGACTCCCAACCACTGCGCCACCAGGGAAGCCCTGTTGAACAAAATTCTTGCTATCGGTGTGGCTTTTAGCAATTTACCTCTTTTCATAAAAGCAAAGCATAAAACATGTAGTAGCACAGGGCTTTGGCTGTGTTCTCTTAAGCTTTTCTGCAAACATAAACAACAAGTCAGAGGCCTGGACAACATCCTCCTAAGACATTTCTCATCTATTCTCAGTAACATTATTATCTCTGTCCATCAGGGGTTTTCACACTGTAGAAGCTTCCGAACATTCTCTCATTTCAGCATCAAAAACACTTTAAACTTCTAGTTAGTTTTAAGCAATCTGTAAGCATACTTTGGCTATCCACTTCATATCCGTACTACGTGTTAGAGAATAACAAGTTTAAGGTGTTTTTTCTTCCATAAGACACAGTCTACTGAGAAATCAAAGACAAATATGAAACCATTATAATACAGCATTGTAATTATACATTGATCGAATAGAGTGCAATTTCTCACTACTTGTCACAATGAAATGTGGAACTGTCCACTCTTTGTGAATTTGTAGGATGTCAGCGATGAAAATGACTAAAGCTAAGTTGTGGTTTGAGAGCCATAGGCAAACTTTGGCCTCCGAGAGTACTTAGTTCTGGGTTCCCCACTGAGGGGGCCAGATAATCAAGGTGAAGCTCCTTCACAGGGTGAACTGCAGATACATTTCATGGACACTGACGTCAAAAACATGGTGAGTCATTCGGTGCAGTTCAAATCCAAGTCTTTGCTCAGAATAAACAGACACTGGCGTTCCCTGGAGAACTTCTTTGGCCGTTGAAAAAGTACATTTCTTTCCTTGTTCAACCTGAGCTTAAGAAGTATGTCTCTAAGCCCAGAACGCTCTTGGAATGAGTTCAGAATGTACCCAACAGCCTGCTCTGATGACCTGTGAGTGCAGGATGCTCTGACCAATGGCCTGACCTAGCTTCCTGGAACACACGTGCTGTCCAAGGGAAGACACCTTCCCTCATTCATCTCTGGGTCTCTCCTAAAAGCCAGCTCAGGGCCCGATTATGTTCCATACATAGGCTTAGTCAATATTTTGAGCGTATAAAACCTCCATTAACATGACGTCACCTCTTCCTTTCCTCACAGTATCAGTGTTTCTCAACGTGCAGTCCTGTGGGCATTCCCACCAGAATCGCCTGACGCTTCCCACAGCTCAGATCCCCAGGTCCCACTTCAGACCCACTAGCCCAGAATTGGCCAAGGGTGAGAGCCAGGAATCTGCCATTTTAATGAACAGCCTGGGTGATCTGAGGCAAACTTATATTTATTAAAAAACTGTTTGGAATTTTATGTATTTATTTTTTAATATTTATTTATTTGGTTGCACAGAGTCATAGTTGCGGCCGGCAGGCTCCTTAGCTGTGGCATGTGAACTCTTAGGTGCAGCATGTGGGATCTAGTTCCCTGACCAGGGATCCAACCTGGGCCCCCTGCATTGGGAGCGCAGAATCTTCACCACTGCACCACCAGGGAAGTCTCCAGAAATTTATCAAAAGAAAGAAAAAGGAAAAACCTTAACCATGATGAAACTTGGTCCTTGTATCTCACAGCATAATTCACCTCTAGACTGATCTCTGACACGCATTTACTGCAGTAACCGGAACCCTCTGTGTAACCCCCCTCGTGGTGCGCGGGGGCAAAGTGCTGTCCGATGGAGAAAACAACACCCGTAGCCGCGTGGGGAGACTTGCTATTAGCTGGCTCCTCGGACAGGGAAGTGAAAACTCCCTGCTTTAAAAAATTCTCCACAAGGCCTGTAACTCTGATGATTTTTGAGGCTTTTGCCTTGATGGAAGAGCAGGATAGAAAGGTCAATTCAGTCACCTGACGTTTGTAAGCATCCATCACATGGAGCAGGCCTGGCAGCTGTCAGAAGAGACACAGACAAGAGGGAGGCAGGGTGTCTGCCCCTCGATGGTCCCAGGAGCATGGGGAGGGCCACGGGCAGAGGCAGAGCAGCCTTGCCAAGAACAGTGCCACTAATTCACACAAACCACCTCGAGGAGATGGCGTTTCTGCCAGACCCTGAAGGATGCGTTGTCCAGAGGCAGAGGCTTAAAAGCAGAGGGAAGAGCGTAAACAAAGTGCAGAAGGGAGGCTTGTTCAGGAATGACCCTCAGAGCCCAAGGCTGGGGCTGGGAGGGATGTGGCTGCAGAGGCCGGCTGGGGCCAGCCTGAGAAAGGTCTAAATGTTTCCACAAATAGATTCCGGTGCTCACTTTCTATATTTGACTTCGCCTGACCTGTCAAACTAAAGCAACTTCTGAATACAATTTGACTTTTTTAAAACACTTGATGGGGGGGCTTCCCTGGTGGCACAGTGGTTAAGAATCCACCTGCCAATGCAGGGGATACAGGTTCGATCCCTGGTCCGGGAGGATCCCACATGCCGTGGAGCGACTAAACCCGTGTACCACTACTACCGAGCCTGTGCTCTAGAGCCCGTGAGCCACAACTACTGAAGCCCGCGTGCCTAGAGCCCGTGCTCTGCAACAAGAGAAGCCACCACAATGAGAAGCCTACGCACCGCAACGAAGAGTAGCCCCCGCTCACCGCAACTAGAGAAAGCCTGCGCGCAGAAACAAAGACCCAATGCAGCCAAAAATAAATAAATTTTTATTATTTATTTATTTATTTATTTATTTTTGCGGTACGCGGGCCTCTCACTGTTGTGGCCTCTCCCGTTGCGGAGCACAGGCTCCAGACGCGCAGGCTCAGCGGCCATGGCTCACGGGCCCCGCCGCTCCACGTCACGTGGGATCTTCCCGGACCGGGGCACGAACCCGTGTCCCCTGCATCGGCAGGCGGACTCTCGACCACTGTGCCACCAGAGAAGCCCATAGATTTATTTTTTAAAAAATAAAATTAAATGAAATTTTTAAAAAAAAGGTTTTTAAAAAAACCCACACTTGATGGAAACGCCAAGTATATTTACGAATGTACATTGTCATTTCAGAAGCAAGCATAATATATTCAAAAGTGTAACTAATACTATGAGAGCTGAAGTTTTATCTCACAGAAACATTTTTCAAAGAGAGAACCCCGGTACCATATTCAAATCGGTATTTTCATAACAGAGCATCAACAAGAGCTCACAATTGGGTTTGATGAGGTGGAGCCCAGAAGGTTCTATGTTTCTCAAAACTTTACTAGTAAGAGTCTGCATCTAATTCGTTTCCTACTTGATTCTTCATAAAAGTAGGATTGAAAGCCTTCAAAACGAGGAGTTAACGTTTTCTCATAGCAATAGGATATATTAACCTAAAATTTTTTGGACTATCTTTTTAAAGAACTTGTTTTAGAAGATTAAGATATATTTTGGATTAAAGTAGTTTGTCTCATAATGAGCTCTCATGGTACAAATGACAAAAGATCTTCCTTGAAACACAAAGCATCTTAAAATGCATGACCTTGAGCAGCACCCTTCTCCTCGGTCTACTACCAGAGGATTTCAAAGGGTTCTGTCATCAAGACACAGCCCCACTCTTTCCTGCTCTCCTGAGAAAGGGCTACCCGAGAAAACTCTCAGAAAAAAGTCAAAATGGAAACCAGCCCATTTTAAATACCTGGGTTTTTAGTAAGGGCCTCATTTATTCATAAGGCTCATATAGACTCTTCAAATTATTTTAAGCTTTCCAGAAAGTTACCCGCCAGAAGAGCCAACTGCAGCGTGGGGAAGCTGGTAAAGTGCACACGTAACTGCATGAGCAATAGAACCACTTTAAGCAAACGATCTAGGCATATCTTTTTCTGCATTTTGAAGAAGGAAATATATAGTTTTCCAGGAAAAACCATCCAATAGCTGACTAATACACCCCTTGCTAGTTTGCCATAATTCCAGAAATCATTTTCATCTAAATTCAGATTACTCATGGTATCTGTGATGACATGGTTTTCAAAAACAAGCATTTCCACAATGAAAATTTAGCGCAGATTTTAACTGAGGCCAACATTCTTAAATCTTTGCAACTCAAATTAAATTAGGGTCAGCATTAGCCAGAGGGTCCAGCAGTCTGACGGGTTCACCTTTAGTTCCCAAGGAAGAACACACCCTAGGCAATATTTTAAGAGTCCCTCCCCACGCAGAAGTGCAGGCTGTGTGAATGTGCACTGGGCCATTGTGTGTGTTTGCAAGGAGGGGAAGCGAAGAGAGTAGAAAGAGACAGTCCTTAGACTCCAAATGCATGAGGACAGGGTGACCCCAGCACAAGGACGGCCCCTCAGTAGGCTGCACGGCCAGCACAGAGACCTGTTGAGGGTGGAGCTGGAATACTGCAGGCTACTAAAGGAAGATTTTGAGCATTATTAGGGCACTAGAGTGAAAAAGGACCCCTTGCCACTTATTTCAGTAATAATAATCCCTATCATTATCATTTATCGAGCACTTAAATGCCTGGCACAGTATCCATCTCTCTCAAGTGTCACAACAGTTATTAGCATCCTCATTTCATGAATGAAGAAAACAGACTCAGCACTCGCCTCGGCAGCACAGATACTAAAATTGGAACGATACAGAGAAGATTAGCATTGCCCCTGCGCGAGGATGACACACATATTTGTGAGGCATTCCATATTTTTATAGCTGATTCACTTTGTTACAAAGCAGAAAGCAATTATACTCCAATAAAGTTAAAAAAACAAAAAAGAAATGATGGTCCCATCAGCCAAACACCTTTGAAAAAAAAAAAAGTAAACAGCCTCAGAGAAGTGACCCAACTTGCTTAAAATCATGGGGTGTGGGCTTCCCTGGTGGCGCAGTGGTTGAGAGTCCGCCTGACGATGCAGGGGAGACGGGTTCATGCCCCGGTCCGGGAAGATCCCACATGCCGCGGAGCGGCTGGGCCCGTGAGCCATGGCCGCTGAGCCTGCACGTCCGGAGCCTGTGCTCCGCAACGGGAGAGGCCACAACAGTGAGAGCCCCGAACCCCGCAAAAAAAAAAAAAAAAAAATCATGGGGTGATAATAAGTTGCAGGGATAGGATTTGTCTGCAGGAGGACCTTTACTTTATTTTAAGCAAAGAAGACACCTGGGAAATCTTTGTATAGATGGAATTAACTCAAAAGTTTTTTTTTTTGTATTTTGGCTGCATTGGGTCTTCATTGCTGTGCGGGCTTTCTCTAGTTGCGGTGAGCAGGGGCAACTCTTTGTTGCGGTGCGCGGGCTTCTCATTGCGGTGGCTTCTGTTTGTTGTGGAGCATGGGCTCTAGGCGCGCGGGCTTCAGTAGTTGTGGCACGTGGGCTCAGTAGTTGTGGCATGCAGGCTCAGTAGTTGTGGTGCGCAGGCTTAGCGGCCATGGCGCATGGGCTTAGTTGCTCCGCGGCACGTGGGATCTTCCCGGACCAGGACTCAAACCTGTGTCCCCTGCATTGGCAGGTGGATTCTTAACCACTGCGCTACCAGGGAAGCCCTTTTTTGTGTATTTTTATTCTTTATGTCTCTGATGATATTTTTCTCTCTATTGTCTTACTGAGGGACGATGACCATTGTAACTCTGTTACTTGGCTCTCCCAAACTGTCGCTTGTGCAGCTAATTGGAAGTATGATACAGAGATAGGCTACACGAATGTTACCAATAATGATACAATACGAAAATGAAAAACAATGTCCTTGCACTGACACAAAGGGATTACAGTTTTCTTGGGATGTAATAGTGACAGTTTACCACGAGCCCTAAAGACAGTCTACCTATGGCTCCACTGAGGCTGATCACATCTCTAATGCAGCCCCCTGCTTCTTTCTTCCTGTGTGTGAGCCAGGCGCTGGGTACCAGTCCAGGACCAGGACCAGTTGTCCTATCAGCCTATTAGTTAGACACTGTGTTTCAGTGTCCATGTCCCAATACCCTCAGGGGTTTACATCCTCTAACAGAGCCTGAAAGGACAGGGCGAACACTGGTGGAGTAGAATCCTGAGGCTAACCGTCCCATGCATGGCTGCTCTTCAACTCAGGGGGTCCTCAACAATTTGTCCGCCGCTTTGGCTGATGTAGAAAAGAGTAAACCAAACAGTTAAAATTCCTTTGCCCAGATAGTTATGGAAATCAGCAAAGCCTTGGATTTTTCGGTTGCTAACCAAGGGGAGTCTGTGCCATTGCTGACACTTCATTTTGTACCTGGATCAACGCCACAGATGAGGTACAACAATTTCTATCCACGCAAAAAGAAAAGGGGATTATCAAGGAAGACTATCAAGGAAGACTCAGGCAGTTGTTGGGACGTGTTTTCATGGTCGGACCTGGAAAAATCCAGATGGTGCCTTGAGAGTGTCCTCCGCCTCCTCCGTGTAGTAATCTGTTACGCTCGTATGTTGCACAGCTTGGTTTGTTTATCCAGAGTCTTAAATCTACAGAGCCACTGTCCTAACAAATGTTCCAACAAATGACTTAGAGACAAAACCAGAATGGACTTATGCTGATGGACATGCAAACTGAAAATCAGACCCACAGATAAAATCTTGTCTTCAAGGAGAAACAAGCACAGTGGAGGACATCTGGATCACACTCACGGTCTCTCCTTTTGCTTTGGCTGATAGAAGGCCAAAGGGGAGAGTGAGAAAATATAAAAGGTCCGCACCCCTAAGAAAAAACGATTTTTACTACAGGTATTGTTACAAGCCAACATCAGAACTGGTTTTCAACCTGATTAATCAGTCGGTGACAACCTGCTTCAGTGAACTTGACTCTGGAGCAGCTGGTTAGATGGAGCCTTGCCCCTAAAGACAGCCAGTCAGAAGCTGACTCATCTCTGACCCCTCTGCCGAGGCAGACTTGACACTCCTGCCTCTGCAACGAACACAAACCACACGTCTAAGGTTGACAACACCCCACTCCCACCTTTGTGACAACACTAGTCCAAAACAAACTCCTGCCCACAATCTTATGATTATCCATCTGCTTTGCCCAATGAGAAGGTCTCTGACCAGCTAACCCTCCTGCACGTAGGTGAGCAATAACGTCAGCGCTTTTGATTTCAGATACTGAGCAGTGGTCTTATCCTTTAACAGCAGCCAGTAGTCAGCATTTAATTGAGAAACAGACCAAATTCATATTCACTGGGGAAGTGAGATATTAGAGCATTAAAGTAACTCCATGTAATCTTTCTCTGCCACATTTGGACTCATCCTGTTCCTGGTGCCAAGTGTATCATTCTCCTTTTTCTTCATTTGACTAATTCCTACCTGTGGTGTGAGTTAGTTACCGTCTGCATAGGTGTTACCATATGTCCACATAGGTGTGCACTTAGCCCTGTGTATGCACGGTTATCTGTCTGTACCTTGTCCTAGGCCATCACTCCTTCTGGGCTCAGTGTGTGTCTCCCATCCCTGGGTCCTCAACACTCAGCCCAGGGTCTGACACATCTTATTCCCCAACAGGTATTCGTTGAATCAAACTGCAGTATGATAAGAAAACACAGTATCTCTCTGATGGAAAGTATTAGTCTCTCTGACACCCATGTTACTCAATTGAATTGTACCTGTTATTTTAAAAGACTTACTTTCCCCTGAATTTTTTCTCCCTTCAATTCTGAGAAGACCGCTCCTCATTTTCACTCAGCTCCTAAATAACTGTTTTCACTCAGGAGTCTCTCGATGCTTCTTCTCCCCTCGAGCCCAGGGCTCTTGCTACCTCCTTCTTCCTACTTCTTTCAATGTATAATTTTGAATTTCTACACTATATTTTCTCTCCTCAATATGTGTGTTTCCCCCACCCCTTTACATCTTTCTTAACCTTAACAGCATGCTTTGTAATTTTAATTTAAAAAAATTTTTTCATTGTGGTAAAAAACCTTAACATGAGATTTACCGTCTTAACAAAATTTTAAGTGCACGATACAGTATTGTTCCTTTTTTTTTGCTGTGGTGTGAGGTAGTGGGCTGAACACATTTGATGGAAAGTTCATCTTTCCCCACTGAAATTGCCCTGACACCTTTGTCAAAAATCAACTGAGTAAAAATGTAAAAATTTATTACTGAACTCTTATTTCTGTTCCATTGATATATATGTCTGCCATTGGTTTTATACCACTATAGCTCGATTACTGTAACTCTAGGTTTTAAAAATGGGTTAAATAAGTCCTCAAACTTTCTTCTTTTTCACAATTGTTTTGGCTATTCTAGGTTCCTTGCATTTACACATAATTTTAGGACCAGCTTGTCAACTTTAAAAAACAATGAATCTATAGATCAATTTGGGGAATATTGCTATCTTAACAATATTGAGTCTTCAAATCCATACACAGGCAATATGTCTCTATATATTTAGCTCTTTTTAATTTATTTTTATTTTTTTCAAACAAATGCAGAAGGAACCACTTTTTAAAATTAATTAATTTGTTTATTTATTTGGCTGCATCGCCTCTTAGTTGTGGCACAGGGGATCTTTGTTGCAGCATGCGGGCTTCTCTAGTTGAGGTGCGCGGGCACCAGAGCGCACAGGCTCAGTAGTTGTGGCGTGTGCGGGCTTAGTTGCCCCGCGGCGTGTGGGATCTTAGTTCCCCAAACAGGCATAGAAACCACATCCCTTGCATTGGATTCTTAACCATTGGATTTTTAACTACTGGACCACCAGGGAAGTCCCCTATGTAGCTCTTTTTTAACTCTCTTGGGAGTGTTTTATAGTTTTCTGTGTATGATTCTCACACTTTTTGGGTTGAATTTATTCATACATATCTTACTCATTTCGATGTTATTGGGAAGTATTGTTTTTCCAGTTTCATTTTTGGAATGTTCATTGCTAGCACATATAAATACAAATAAATTTTAAAATTTTATTTATTTATTTGGTTGCACCAGGTCTTAGTTGTGGCTCGTGGGCTCCTTAGTTGCAGCTTGCCTCCTCCTTAGTTGTGGCATGTGGGCTCCTCAGTTGTGGCATGCATGTGGGATCTACTTCCCTGGCCAGGGATCACACCCGGGACCCCTGCATTGGGAGCACGGAATCTTAAGCACTGTGCCACCAGGGAAATCCCACAATTAATTTTGTATGCTGAGTTTGTATCCTGTGACTTTGGCTAAAATTAATGATTAGTTCTAGTATTCTTTCTTTTTTGCTTTCTTTCTTTGAGTTCCTTCCTTTCTCTCCCTCTCCCTCTCTCTCTCTTTCTTTTCTTGTAGCTTTCTTAGAATTTTCTACGTGTAGGATTATATGATTTGTGAATAGAGACTATTAAACTCTTCCTTTCCAATCTGTATGGCTTAATTTCTTTTTATTGCCTTATTGCACTGGCTAAAACCTCTGTTTCAATGTTAATAGAAGCAGCAAGAACAGGCACCTGTCAGTTGTTCCTGATCTTAGAAATAAGAGCTGTCTTTCACCACTACGTACCATAGCTGTAGTCTTTTCATAGGTACCTTTTAATAAGTTGAGGAAATTCCCTTCTAGTCCTAATTTGTTGAGAATTTTTATTATGATAGGGGGTTGGATTTTGTTAAAGGCTTTTTCTTTTTTAAAAATATTTATTTTATATTGGAGTACAGTTGATTAACAATGTTGTGTTAGTTTCAGGTGTACAGCAGAGTGCTTCAGTTATACATATACGATATCTGTTCTTTTTCAAATTCTTTTTCCATTTAGGTTGTTACATTATGTTGAGCAGAGTTCCCTGTGCTATATAGTAGGTCCTTCTTGGTTATCCATTTTAAATATAGCAGGGTGTACCTGTCAATCCCAAACTCCCTAACTATCCCTCCCCCTCCCCCTTCCCCCCTGGTAACCATGAGTTCGTTCTCTAAGTCTGTGACGTTTCTGTTTTGTAAATAATTTCAAGTCAAATGCTTTTTCTACATCTATTAGATGATCATTTGGTTTTTGTTCTATATTAATATGGTTTACTATATTAATTGAGTTTTTAAAATTAAAGCCACCTTGCATTCCTGCACTCCTGGGATAAATTCCACTTGGTCATAATATTATATATAATAATATTTTATGTTGCTGGATTCAGTTCTTTCATTTTTTTATTAAGAATTTTGGATGACATAATCATTTTTTATGTTGTTAGACTCAGTTGCTAATTGTTTCTTTTTTTAAAATTAACTAATTATTTTTGGCTGTGTTGGGTCTTCGTTGCTGTGCACGGGCTTTCTCTAGTTGTGCCGAGAGGGGGCTACTCATTGCGGTGGCTTCTCTTGTTGCGGAGCACGGGCTCTAGGCACGCAGGCTTCAGTAGTTGTGGCTCACGGGCTCTGGAGTGCAGGCTCAGTAGTTGTGGCGCATGGGCTTCGTTGCTCCGCAGGATGTGGGATCTTCCCGGACCAGGGATCGAACCCATGTGCTCTGCATTGGCAGGCGGATTCTTAACCACTGTGCCACCAAGGAAGCCCTCTACTGCCTTCTTGCCTCCACTATTTCTGATAAGTCACTGGCTGAGTGTATTGTTGTTCCCCTCTATGTGACGTCATTCTTTTCTTGCTGCTTTTAAGAATTTTCTGGGGACTTCCCTGGTGGCACAGTGGTTAAGAATCCGCCTGCCAATGCAGGGGACATGGGTTTGATCCCTGGTCCAAGAAGGTTCCACATGCCGTGGAGCAACTGAGCCTGTGCACCACAACTACTGAGCCTGCGCTCTAGAGCCTGCGAGCCACAACTACTGAAGCCCGTGCGCCTGGAGTCCATGCTCCACAACAAGGGAAACCACCACAATGAGAAGCCTGTACAACGCAACAAAGAGTAGCCCCCGAGGCTTCCCTGGTGGCGCAGTGGTTGAGAGTCCGCCTGCCGATGCAGGGGAGACGGGTTTGTGCCCCGGTCCAGGAAGATCCCGCATGCCGCGGAGCGGCTGGGCCCGTGAGCCATGGCTGCTGAGCCTGCGCGTCCGGAGCCTGTGCTCCGCAACAGGAGAGGCCACAACAGTGAGAGGCCCGCGTACCGCAAAAAAGAGTAGCCCCCGTTCGCCACAACTAGAGAAGGCCTGTGCGCAGCAACAAAGACCCAATGCAGACAAACATAAATTCATTAATTAATTTTAAAAAAAGGATTTTCTGTCTTTCAGTATTTTGTCTATGATGTGTTATGGTGAGGATCTCTGTGACGTTATCTTACTTGGGATTTGATGAGCTTCTTGGAACTGTAGATTAATGTTTTTCCATCAAGTTTGAGAAGTTTTTGACAAATATTCATTTGAAAAGAGATTTCCTGCCCCTTGCCTCTCTCCTTTCAGGATCCCCATTATACCTATATTGGTAGCTTTCATGTTATTCCATATGTCTCTGAGGCTCTGCTAATTTTTCTTCAATTTTTTTCCCCTCTCTTCTTCAGATTATATAATTTCTATTGATCTATTTCAAGTTCACAGATTCTTTCTTCAGACTTCTCAAATCTGCTCTTATTCTAGGATTTCCCTAGAAGATCTCTGTTACATTTCCGGCTAGTTTTCTTATCTGCTGCTGTCCCAACCAGGACTAAAAGCTCAAGCTTAGGAGAGCTGCAGGCTTTTTCCATTTGCCACTCTGAGTGTGGGTTTTCCACCCTCTGCTCCCAAACATATCAGACCCCTTTGGCAAACAAAGCTGCTAGGATTCACAGCTAGTCCCAACTCCAGTAGAACTACCACGCTGAATGCTCTGGGCTGCAAGTCGGGGCAGTCTCAGGCCAGGATGTCACAGGCTCTCTGAAGACTGACTTCAAGTTCAGCAGTTTCGAGAAATTAAGCTCTTCTCAAATTGTTGTTTATCTTTGGTTGATTTCCAGAGATCTGAAATTGTTGTTTTTGACAAATTTATCTGTCTTTATAGTTGCTTTTTGGGGAGGGGATGTCTCCCTTCTCACTTCTCCATTGCTAGAAGTCTCCTGCTTTCACTTAGATTCTGGCCCGCTGAGTGTTTACTGCCATAACAGTTCTTAGTTCAGGGGATTTTAAACACGTTTCACCTAACATTTTTTGGTATTTTCAGTGGGAGGATCAGTCTAGATATCTAGTCGGCCATACAGAGAGAGTTAATACTTTCAGTTTTTTATGATCATTAAATGAAACTTTTTATGTAAAGAATTAAGCAAACTGTCTGTAACACGAAGGGCTCAAAGAACTTTAGTTATAATATCTGAATACTTGTACTGTAGGGATTTTACATACATTATTTTATTTAATCATATCTCTAAGAGGCAGGCATTCAAATTTTGATATTACCCCCCCCCCCCAAAAAAAAAAAAGATTTACTAGACTAGGGCCATACCAGGTAGTAAATGATGGAGTCAGGGTCTGGTGCCTTCCCCCCTTGGTCCTGCTCCCTCCATGGTGAAGAAGATTTCCGTGGTTGCTCTTTTGGGGTGGCCTGTAGACTATCTAGGAGATCATAAGGAATTAAGTCCAGCACAGGTATTAGGGAGAGGGCTCATTGCTGTGCTAGTTGGCAGTGACTCCAATCACAGTGGGACACATAGAGATTCCCGAAAGCAGACAGGGCTTTTGCTAAGACAGTTAACACATGAGTGCATGGTACCTGTGTGAGTCATCGAGAAGGTTTTAGGGCTCTGTATGATATTTGCCCACATTCCAATTATATTTGCAATGAACAATTAAATCTGAACTAAATGTACCACAAAAATACCTAAACAACTGAAATTCATTCCATTTAAAAGCTTTATACATATACTTGGGAGTTAAGTAGCAAACGTTGGGAAACTGGAAGCTTTTGGATTCAATCTGCCAAGATGGTAAAATTATTTGAGAGACTGTGAGTCTGGTCCCCAGCCCTGAATATCCAGAAACTATATTTGATGCTGCTGCAAAAGACTTTCTAACTGATGTCCCCACTGACATTTTCTTCTCACCTTTGACGCGTTCCTTATATCCTGACCTTGGCAACCTTCCTCAGACATTCTCTCATCATGTTTCTGTGCACTTTCTCACTGCTCCCTCTTGTTCTCCTAATTCTTCATCCACCAGCCGTTGTAAGCTGCTCCCATGCACGTGTCCAACTCTCAGCCCCACCCGTCCCTGCTCTTGTGGGCTCATTCACTCATCCTTCTCGCATCCTCTACTCCTAGCATCTCCTTCTCACCTCCGAACCTCTGCTTCTGCCTTTCTTTCTACTGTACTCCCCACCCTTCCCCAGCGCCTCCTTTCTTGGAGCACGCTCTTTCCTCTATTTCTCTTACCCACATCTTACAGGTCCTCTAAAAATCTACTCCCTTCCATTCACTCAGTGGACGTTTGTTCATGCTGTGAAGCGTGAGCTCCAAAGGGTGTCTTGGGTGTCCTTTCCAGGCAATTTACAAAAAGATGACACTATCAGTTGTATTCCACATTTAGCCTAGTTGTGGCTCCACAGTGGGGGAATCTCATTTTGCTTCAATTGACACATCATTTTTTCCCACTTTTGACTGCCTCCGACTTTAATATAATAAGTGGATCAGCACTTCACTCCTGAGTTATACCTCCATCCCACGTAATCGATCCTAGTTTAGATGTTATCTCTACTGGGCCTATGACACTGCATAAGGTTATAACGAAAGTAACGAATATATACCCAGAGGAAAAACTCAGTTATAATCACAAGTGAGCCTCATAACTGAGGCAGTCATAAATTATGTTGCATAATGTTCTTGTTCTTAAAATCATAGAACTATTAATGTTTGAGTGCGTTAATTATTTGCTTCAGGCTGTGCAGGCAGCCAAGAGATAACGGCTTCCCTTTAGTTTAAAAAAAAAAATGCTGCTCAAGTGCTTGGGTTGCTTTCAGCCCATATTTCTTTTTTTGGCCATCTTTTTGTTACCCAGCATCTTCCCCGTGTTGTTTTTGCCAGTTAGGCATCAATGCAGATGGGACGAAATAAAGAATTGGCATCGCCATCATTTTACCAGTCCACTCAGCCTCCTGTCTCAACCTCTTTCTTCCCATACTCGTGGGAAAGTGATGGAGGGGTGGGAAGCGAGGTGACAGAGGGTGACGTTAGGGAGTGGGACGGGGATTAGACGAGCAAAGGACTTAATAGAAGGAGTGGGAAGGGTGGGGAGACACAGAGGATGTTCAGAGTCACTTTAACCCACATTAGTGGGAACAAACCAGTCTTTCACCAGTCCCTAGTGGGGGGTGCAGGACCACACATATTCATGCCAGAGAAAAGAAAAAAATGCATTCGGGTAAAAAATTACTTAATAACCTCTGTAGAAGTTTGGTGGGTGAGGCAACACAAAGAGGACTGGTATCTGTGGCATCGTCTTGCGTCTGCTGCCTTTCTCTTCTGTTAGTGCAGAGAATCAGTTGGTTGCAAAAGCCCACGTCTCATCGGCTGAAGGCAGCCAAGGGCTTACTGCCTTTTCACCATATTTTACTTGGTGGGTATAGAAGGATGTATCACTACTGTTCTTGCATTCCAAGCGACTTAAAAATTGGATAAAAATAACTTTGCTTTCAACAAGTCAATAGACTTTCATTTAATCTTACCTGACTGTGCTCTAGAAATTAGGAAACAAAAGAGAATTGGGGGCTAGTTGTGTATATAGTTGAACTGAAATGCAAGAGGAAGGGAGAATATTTCATTTTCACTGAGGCAAACTGCTGAGAAAAAATAAAAGGAGTTACACTCTTTTAGCTTCTTCTTACCCAGAACATAAATCTCACTGTTGACCACAGCTGTGCTGAATCGGTACTTTGAGTACTTCATGGGTGCCTGCTCTGTCCATAGATCTTGGCTGGGGTCATACTTCAGCAGCTTGTTGCTTAATCGATCAGGTTCTTCGTCAGGAAGATCCATCTGTGTGAAATTATGACAGCCAGTATAATAACGTACCACTTAGAGATCTTCGTGAGTACCTGAATGCAATTAATCAAAGCAGACAGCCAAGGAGATAAATAGAGGTTAACCGTAGTGAGTCATACTCACAAACACACCAAATCCCATGACTTGGGGATATAAGTACACTGTCAGTATCGGAGGAATTTATATTCTACGATAATGGGGCTAAGGTGTTGGGTTATAGCAAACAATATGTGATCTGAGCAGTGAGGCAATACATACAGCATTTTTTTTAAAAAATGAAGCACTGCAAAGCCTTAAAAACGAAACCAAGCTTTTTTGAATAGTATTTAAAGTATAATTTTATTTTACCAAGCTTTATAGTGGCGGATTAAATAATATTTGTGAGAAACTAATTTTAATAATTTATAAAGCATTTTTCTTTATAATATTTTTCTAATCCAAGTGGAACAAAATTACAAAAACATTTGAGTGTTTTAGTAATGAGAGTATTTTTATACCATAATATTGGAGTGGTCTGAATTTAATTTTAAAGATACATGGATTAATAGAAATTATTTGCAATTATTTTTATGTATTTATTTTATGTACGTATATATATATATATATATATATATATACATATTTTTTTTAATGACTAGGGAAAGTAGAAGTTGAATACACACAGATGTATGTAGCTTTTCCTACTCCTGAACTTGAGGTGAAGTAATATTTTTTGTCTACAATGTGTTAGGACCTTCTATGACTTCAAGCTAAAGATGCTTAAGTGTCTTTTGCTTTTTGTTTTGGATGAAGGTGTTCAACAGAGAAATAATTTCCATACTTATGAAAGTTGTATGCAGTTAGTTTTAGCTCAGGGTTATAATCACTGTAGTGCAATCACTACCCCATGCTTTCTTGCAATTTAATGTATCGTATTCGGTACAGACTAGCAAAAGCTTTCGTTATGCAGTAAATACTGACGTGTTTGAAGACATTATATATTAGGAAATACTGACTTTATTGTTTTAATTTTCCTTCTAATTTAAGTATTTAATATTTGCTTTAGTGGAAAAAAGCAAAGAAAAGCTTTTCTTTGGAGCATATTCATGCAAAATTAACTATGTAAATGAATAGTTCTGAAAAAGCTTTATTACAAATAATTTGTCAGGTTTCAGCTACTAACTGTGATTAAATCTAAGCTACTTTTTGATACATAGCATGAATTTTAAAATGTATTAAATGTGACGTTTGTTATTAAAACAAGTATGATATACCATAAAAGGCAAAATTTAAGCTTATGAAATGATTTAAAAAGCACCAGTTTTATCATGAAGCGAATCTGGCGAAAGAAGAAATCACATAGGCTAAAATAAAATTAGTTTATGTCATGGGGACAGAAAATGAGCTGGTAAGATTAATCTTTATTAGAAAGACTGGTTGGCCAGGGCAGAAGGCAGCTGGAGTGAAGCTTCTGTGAGAGCCCCAAGGCGCTCGGAGGGACACGAAAGAGAAGAGAAAGGGCCTCTGTGGTCCCACTCCACTGACTTCTCCATCCTGTCTTGCGCCCCTTCTCTGGGCTTCAAGACAGTCTCTGGTTTCTTTATCTGCTGATGCCCAGCAAAGACATGAAGAGGTTAAAATTGCAATATACTTTTGTGGAAATGGTTGTGCCATCACAGGATGAACATTCTGGTTTCCCACTTAGAGTAAGAACTTTAATATGAAAAAGACCTAAGAATCCTTGCCTCAGGTCATACAGCTGTAAAGCAGAGAGAAGTGGGATGAGGATCCAGCTTCTTCGCCTCCTACTTAGATGCTCCTTACAGATAACCCCTCAGCATAAGCATCCTTCATAGTCAGCAAGGATGGGAAGGGTTATGAAGAACACAGCACAAATACTGAATGAAGTCATGCCTATGAATAACACTTTAAAATTCATTCTCCTGAGCTGCTTTAACACTTTAAAATCTTCCATTTAATATTCTATAACATAAAAGGCATTTTGCCGGAATGTGAGTCATACTCTTTTAGTATTCAACAACTACAACATTTTTCAACAGAGCGGCCAGACTCAGCACAGCCATGCCAGTTAGGTACACAGGAAATTTCTTAACCTGAGGGGTCCAGCCTCCAATCACGTAAAGTTTATTATTCACTGTTACTACAGCATGACACGCCAACTGTAGTGGAAGGGGGGACACCCTTTTCCAAGTGTCCCTTTCTACAGAGTACTTATCAACACAGTTTGTAATAAGATACTGGTTTTTAATTTTCATCTGTCCTCCTATAACATAGAGGTCGTTATGGATGGTGCCCAGAGCGTAGAGCTCTCGAAATTCTGTTGTGCATAACTTTTCCCAAAACTGGTTTCCTCTATCATGATACCTGTAAGTTAACAGAGAGAGAACCCAGAATTAGATTTAATATAAAAACAACTTGCCAAAAAAACACACTTGTTTCTTTTCCAACGAAAACCGATATGATTTGGTTCTTCTAATTGGAGAAGAAAAAACCATTAAGATAGTGATACAGGTTTGTGTTTTTTGGGGAAAAGAAATGCTGAACAAAATATAATGTACACAGAAACAGTCAACCACACCCACCTAGAGAATTTTAGAAAAAAACAATATATTGAAAAAGTATAGATTATCCAGGGACTAGCCTTCATTTCCTAATTCTGGGAAAGAAAATTAAAAATAGGAAAGTCTTGGGCTTCCCTGGTGGCGCAGTGGTTGAGAATCTGCCTGCTAATGCAGAGGACACGGGTTCGAGCCCTGGTCTGGGAGGATTCCCACATGCTGCGGAGCAACTGAGCCCGTGAGCCACAGCCGCTGAGCCTGCGCGTCCGGAGCCTGTGCTCTGCAACGAGAGGCCGCGATGGTGAGAGGCCCGCGCACCGCGATGGGGAGTGGCCCCCGCTTGCCACAACTAGAGAAAGCTCTCACACAGAAACGAAGACCCAACACAGCAAAAATAAATAAATTACTAAAAATAGGAAAGTCTTTCAGCAAGTCATTTGCTAAAAGAGAATATGTAAAAATAAACATAAAAAATGTCTTATTCTGTTGACTAGAAGTTTCATTTTAATACTACATTAAAGAAATGTGTTTAGAGCAGAAAATCTGGAAATATTTAAATTCAGATTTCTAATGGGGTGATGCAGGATATATAGAATTTTAAGGATTGTTCTTGTGGTTCTAACTGGCTTAGAACAGAGTCAAGAGCATGCTACTGTATAAAAACCCACCTGTAGGTGTCTGCTGGGCATTTCTCAACTGTTTTAATCTACTAGGTATGGTAATTTCAGTAATTTCTACCACAAATAATTATGTTGGTCTGAGAAGAGTCTTGGGAGAAGAGCAGGGACACTAGGTGATATGGTCTCTCAACACCTCCTAGAGTCCAACACATTAAGTAATTATCTGAGTGTGTGCATGTGTGTGTGTGTGTGTGTGTGTGTGTGTGTAGCATTACATGGTCACCAAGTGGATGAGTCTGTGCCCACCTTCTGTCTTGCCTGTTGACAATGGCAAGTCTATTTTCTCGAATCATGATCGGGACACATAGTCCAGGACAAAAGTACCCATGGGGACAGTGGGATAAAATATGTGAAATTATTTCTGTCCTAGAAAATCCAGAAAGTATAATTGGAATTCAAAACTAAAACAAAACAAAAAACAAAAACCAGAATAAATATGGAAAATAAGAAAAAAAATTTGTTGTTTGGAAACAAATTTTGCATCAGACATGTGACAGTTAATGGTATTACAGAAGTTCCCCATTGTTCTAGGCCAACTCTTATGGAAACCAAAGTCCCTAGCAGCACAGGTGATATTTTCACCACTATTTTTAATTGTTCTGGATTTTAGAGGGGAAGGGACAATTAGGTGTCTACAGGTGGGGGCTACTGAAGCAAAGACAATGAATATATAAATGGAACTAAAAAATGGGTTTTGGTTTTCTGAGGCACGGTTTAAGAAAATAGGCCAGGAACAAAATAAATCCCACGAAGGATGGGAAGTACATGTTTGCTGGACAACTTGCTAATTGGATTTTTGTTTTAACATTTTGAATTAAAAATGGGGAGAGAAAATGCCCAGATGAAACTATAAAACTTATTATTTCGATATGACATAAAGAAGAAAATAATAGTGGCAAAAGCATTCAGTGTTCACAGAGGTTGACAGTTTAAAGACAACACTTACATCCTCAGCTGTTTGTCTACCAAAGTACGAGAGTTAAAAGAGATGGAAAGGTGTATTTTTTTAAAAAAGAAACAACCTGCTATAATGCTAATCTACTTCCTCTTTTAAGTCAAAAAGAAATATATCTGCATGGAAATGTGTAAACTACAGAGTAGAGGCACGCTGAAGAGCATCTTGGCAAAGGTAATTGGGGTAAGGAGCAGAGATGATGTGGCAGGAGTGGACCAAAGACAGTGACCTCGGGTGGTACTGTCAGACCTTAACTATGCAGACAGCACTGGGAGTCTCATGTAAGCCTCAAGCAGTGCTTCTGATAATCTCTTTATTTGCCTTGCTGACAGTTTCACTATTGCGAGAAGTGAGGAGGGCAACTGATAGTTTTACCCTAATTCTGACCAACGTGGAAGAGCTGTTGGTGATGGGAACCGGCGTGAGTTCAAGACAGGAAAGAAAGGAAACGTGGGGTGTGTAGTTAGACACATGCATAAAAAGGGAAGCAGGCATTCAAAAACAGTTAAGAGGAAAGACTTTCAGGGATGAAAACACACTTTGAGAGGGATGGACGTTTGTTAACAATTAACTCTGATGGCAGAATTGTGGACTATCCTTATTTTATTTTTTAAAATTTATTAATTTTAGTTTTGGCTGCATTGGGTCTTCGTTGCTGCACACGGGCTTTCTCTAGTTGCGGCAAGCGGGGGCTACTCTTCATGGCAGTGCGTGGGCTTCTCATCGTGGCGGCTTCTCTTGCTGCGGAGCACGAACTCTAGGCGCGCGGGCTTCAGTAGTTGTGGCTTGCGGGCTCTAGAGCTCAGGCTCAGTAGTTGTGGTGCACAGGCTTAGTTGCTCCGTGGCATGTGGGATCTTCCCGGACCAGGGCTCAAACCCATGTGCCCTGCATTGGCAGGTGTATTCTTAACCACTGCGCCACCAGGGAAGCCCTGCACTACCTTTAAGAGGAAGAAAATAGGTATCTAAAGAACCTGAGGTTCTGGTACAGGAGGCTCTAAGGTGAAAAGAAGGGCACCCAGCCGAGAGCAAGTAGGAGACAAATGTCAGGGACCCAGAGGATCCGTCCCAGGAGAAACAGGCCCCCTTTCCCACAAGCACCTGAGGGCCTGTACCTGTTGCTGCTCAGTGACAGCTCTGTCACCGCAGGCAGAGGGCCAGTCACTATCCAGGGCTTGTGTTCCCGCCCCCACTTCTGGGAAGAAGGGACACTTGCTCAACGTGTGAAGGTGACAGCAGGACGGGCCGAGAGCCTGAAGCACATACTGCAATGAGGAGAGACGACAGGAAAATAGCAGACCTCTCATCCTTCTCTGTCCCCACTTTGCTGTCGAGAATCACTTACCGACTGACTGAAAAGTCTGAGAAACCGTGCTACGAAGGCCCAGAGAGGGGAGGGAGTGCAAGGAGAGCTCAAGGACCTACACGTACAACTCTTATTCACCCAGGTAGATTTAAGGGTTGAATTCTTGCTGAGTAACAGGAAACAAATCTTTCTGTCCTCACACACAACACCTAGACATACACTACTTCTTAGCAGATACTCCTGTTCCTCTTACAGTTCTAGGGTTGAAGAATTCTTAGGCTACAAACATTTTACACTATTAGAGGTTTAGCAAAGACCCACTCATTAAGGGTACAGAATGAAGGACTTCCCTGGTGGCGCGGTGGTTAAGAACCCGCCTGCCAATGCAGGGGACACGGGTTCAAGCCAATGCAGGGGACACGGGTTCAAGCCTTCTCACATGCTGTGGAGCAACTAAGCCCGTGTGCCACAACTACCGAGCCTGCGCTCTAGGGCCTGCGAGCCACAGCTACTGAGCCCACGTGCCACGACTACTGAAGCCTGCATACCTAGAGCCCATGCTCTGCAACAAAGAGAAGCCACCGCAATGAGAAGCCCACACACCACAATGAAGAGTAGCCCCCCCGCTCGCCACGAGTAGAGAAAGCCCGCGTGCAGCAATGAAGACCCAACACAGCCAAAAATAAATTAAAAAAAAAAGTACAGAATGAAAACTGACAGATAAATAGTACTTTTTGGTCAAGAAGAAAAATTACTTATTACTCTGAATTGTGAACTAATAAAAGTCAGTTCAAAGGCGTCAGTGTTAATAAACTTTTCTTCTTGTTAAAAGTTATATTCAGCTCTTCAAAAACAAAGCAATTATAGCATATGAATAGTGAAAGCTAAGAGTGAAAATATACAAAGGAATCATAAAGTATATACATTTAACTTATGCAAATTCAACTATATGTTCTTAATAATGAAAGGGAGAGAAAAATAATTTTAAAATGTGGATGATTTCATTATGAATTTTACATCTATGTAAAATACATGATTACAGGGTAATTCTGACCACACATAATTTAAGATGTGATCACTAAGAAGTACTTCGGCTGCTAATGTCAAAGCAAGATAATTGAAACAAAGTTACAAGTATATGGCTAGATACGAACCTGTAGATTTCCACATTCTTGCTCTTTTGTCTGGAGAGTTTAGAGGCACTTGCTTCTCCAGCCACAATGATAGTGTTGTTTTCCATGACAACACCAGTACACACAGTGCCTAAACCCTCCCCATACTTGGGAGAGGAGATGAAATAGGTCTTGCGCAATGCAGGATCATAGCAAAAACTGGCATCTCCGTAGTTCCTGTGTCTCGACCTGATTCCTGAAGAATTGGTGCCAATGCACAGCAAAAGACTGGTAGTCTCCATGCCATAACGAAGATTGAGAGAGTGCTGTTGAGGGGTCTTGATGGCTTTGAATGCGTTTTGAATGATGTCAATGCAATTTGCATCACACAGAAGCATTGTGTTCCTTTTCAGGGCTTGTCTTAAAAAAGAAGGATTCACCAGTTGCAACCTAACTTGCTTCAGAAGTTCCACAAGGTGCTCTGTGCGCAGTTCTCGGTTATGATTTACCCATCTCAGAACTAGGTCCAGAATGCTCTCCTCTCTGGATATGTTCAGGTCATCTGATTGAATAAGCGTCAGAAGTTGGTGCACTTCAATTTCTAGTATCTCTTCATGTAAGCTCACCTCAGCAAAGTGCTGATATAAATACTTCTTCGATTGATCAGCTAAATCCTCAGCTCCAATCTGCTTTGCAAAATGATAGATACCCAAACAGTTCGAGGCATCCATATGGTCCATCATATACTTCTGACACACACTGAAGACTTCCTCCATCTGCATAAAATAGGCGGCCATAGCCACAGTCTGTACATTGGCATTACTGATCTCCAGAGCCGCATGGTACATATAATTTAATATCACCGACACGCTTTCTGCTGTGATGTCATAAAGTACGACTTCCCTCTGAGTACACTCAAGTAGTCCACAGGTAAACATCGCTTTGAAATAAGGACTAAATGCAGCCAGGACCAGCCTGTGGCAAGGGAATTTCTCCCCTTCTGCGATGAGTACGACATCAATCATCTCTGCTAGTTCTTTCATGTTCTTAATTTTATTCAGTAAATTCAAGCTGTGTTGGTATTTTTCTTTTCCCTCAGTCTTGCACTCCATGGTGTCCTCTCCAGTGTTTCTAAGTAAGTCTTCTTTAAATGTAGCTCGATTCTTGAGGTCCTGTTTACATGTCTTATTACTCACCAAGCCACAGAGATGTCATGTAACATTCCTGAAGGAAAGAAAAGAGGGAGTTTTCTTCTAAGAAAAAAAATTCTCTGTAATTTAAATATGCAGCCTTAGTTCTAAGAAGTATTTATAAGTAAATATTATTCATTCCAAGCAGAGTAGTTTAACATTAAGACAGCTACTTTGGTATCTAAAAATAACGTCGTTGGTTGTAAAATTAAAAACAGGAAATTATTAAGCACTAACAATATTTTCCTAATTGGCGGCAGAGATTTTTCTAGCAGAGGCTGGAAAGTCCTCCCTCCCAAGGTGAACGAAGAGAAAAGGGATAAGATGAGCACCTTTCTCATTTACAATTCCAGTTACCAAATTCAGCTGACCCACAGATGGAGGATACAGAGGCATTAGGAAGCATCCTCTCTGAGGAGGTGCAACATCACTGAAAAGGTTATGTGCACCGTCCCCCAAAATGCACCCAAGTGCTATCAGCACCAGTCTGAAAAATCACAAGGGAGGGGGTCTTGTAGGCTGGCTGAAAAAAAAGTCCACTAAAATTCTGCTCAAACTTTGCTATGTGGCAAATGATTCAAAACAGTGCTTTGGAAAGCGCAACCAAATACGTGCTGCCGTGAGAGTTCACAATACTTGAAACTTACAAGTAAATCATCCTAATCTTAGAAAACACACAAAAGTCCTCCCGTTTCTCTGCCCCTCCTGCTTGGCTTCTCTCTCTTCCCTGTCTCACAGAGGCAGAGGTGGAATCACTTCTTGCCTGAAAAAGCACTAGTCTAATTAAAAATCTCTTTAAGCTGGTTGTCTCAGCTTCCCCTTCCCCGGGGAACTGCAAACAGGATGTTTCAAGGAAGCTAATTAGCTCTTTGGATTTAAAGAACACTCCTAGAGCCAGAAGCCTTAACGGGAGGAGCAGATCTCAATCTCTGTCACCCTGTCCAGGTCTAATGCGGCTGTCAGTCCCAGCAGCGAGAATAAACCTCGATGGTAGAAAAGTCAGCACGAGGAGCTCAGAAAGGCAGGGAGGTGATAATTTCAACACTGAAAGCAAAATCTGTCAGCCGTGAAGCTTATAAGCCTTCTAAATTTCTGTGATCCTGTAAAGGATTAGAAACCTCATATGTCTCAACGAGACTTGGCACTTTTTCAGTGTTGAATTAAAGTTCATTTCAGGAAACAAATGTTAAGCATGATAGGAATGTTTAATTATATAATGGCAACTGTAAGACCTAAAAATCGCTGTGCTGAAGGGTGTGGAATCATAACAAGTAGCCAGTCTTGGAACCCGTATACTTGAAAGAGAAATAAAAGCCTCCTCGCCGGATTTTCTGGCGTTAATGGCTCAGTTTTATTTCAGTGAGAACTTAAGACTTTCTATGCAAGGGTTTGCAGGTTAAAAGTGAACGGTTGCTTTTTCGCTTTATTTGTTTTAGATTTTTACAAAGAGAATCCAATTATGGGTAATTAAGAGGTCATTATATTTCTAAATTCTCCTACAACACATTATGACTGGCCCAAATCATATTATGTAGGCTTCTTTACACATAAACACATCAGTCAACTTTATAGATGACAGCTGTTACTTCAAACTAAAAAACGGTAAAAGCTTTCTTATAAGGAAATAAATATTCTAAAATTTCTATTCCATTTGTACTGATATACAAGAATCCCTCAAAGGGTACCAGTACCCACAATGCTAGAAGGCCAAGGGCAGCTTCCAGATCGGATCACGTGATCTAACACAATGCAGATAGTTCAGAGTCATTAGTTCTTGATGTTGCTGGAAAGAAACCAGACGCCGGGGACCCAAATGTTAGGACCACAACCTAGGATTTTGTATCTTTAAGGCAGGAACCAAGCTACCCTCGTTGAACTTTTTGGCATAGGGCTAGTTTAATGAAAACGTAAGTGGCATTAGTTTCAAAGAGAGGTTAAAAATGAAATACCTAGTACATTATGGACTGGTTTTCTCGATAAACATGTTATAGGTAATATCTTATACACAGCTCTATAGTGGACAATGTTGGCTTTCTCCCCACATGCAGCCTGCCTTTCCTTGGTGCCACTGGGGTGGGACTGACTCCCGTTCTTACCACTGAGACTGGTTCAGGGGCTGGTGGGAGACCTGAGATTGGCCCGATTGGAGTGAAGCTCAGTCTCTGGTTCACTGGTTGGGGGTGTCCACGTGTTACAAAGATGAGAGGTCTGGATCCACTGCAGCCGTGTCCCGATAGCCAGCATGAGGACAAAGCCAGTATAGGAAAGAAGGCAGAGATTTCAGAGCAGTGGAGCTTGAAACATGCCTTATATCTGTGTTTTTCAGTTTTGAGAGAGACCATTCCCCTCATTGTTTAAGCCAGTTTGAGTTGGGAGTGCTGGTCCTGGCACTCAGGAGTCCTCACTAGTGTAAGTGGCATTTGCAAAAATACTGAGACAAGGTTGCTTAAGGTAACTGCAATTAGATATTGTATAAAGTTTCACTTTAGGTATATTCTTGTATTCTCTATTAGTACACTGTCAAGTGAAAGAACTGTAGAAACTTCTAATTATGCGCATTTCTCCTTGATAGAAGGCAGAATTACCTAAGTCAGCTCTTCTGAGTTTACCTCTTCTCATTAAATGGCTACACCATTTTACAAGCACACGAACTGAGTTTTGAGCCCAGTTCCATCTGACTCCAAAGTCTGCACTCTTAATCACTCCCTCTAGAGCAAGCACCAAACTAGGGCCAGAGAGAAAATATCTCAGGCTTTGTAGGGTTTCTGCCTTAACAATTCAGCTCTGCCGTTGCCATGCAGAAGCAGCCATAGATGATACGTAAACAAATGAGCATCGCTCTGTGCCAAAAAGTTTGTTTTACGGATACTGAAACTTGAACTTCATACATTTTCACATCTTCTTTTGATTTGAAAAAGCCATTTAAAATTATAAAATTCATTCTTGCTCATGGGTGATATAAAACAGGCAACGGGGCAACAACTCGTGTGCCACTGTCATAAATAAATCCACTTTCTAGATTATGTCTGGTGCCTAATCTCCAATTCTCTGCTTAACTCCAGATGAAGAGTTTTGAGAAGGGGAACAGTCAAATTCCTATTTTAAAAGGATCATCTGGTGTCCCCAATATTCCCAAAGATAAATCAATTTCTTGAATAAATACTTTACTTGGGTACAGTTTCTCTGCCCCAAACGCTGGCTTCAGCAACAAAAAATACTTTTAAAAAGGAAATAACTGTTTCAAACATTCAGAAGAAACATTTATGAATTTTTTAGATGGGCACATATATTTAAGTGTCCCTTCCTTCTAATTGCCTTTTATAAAACTCTTGAGAGCTACTCTAATTGCTGTGGATTTACAGACCAAATGAATTTACTGGTGTAAATCCTGAGAGATAACTGGTCAGTTACATTAGCCACCATGCTTCAGCAAGCATTCTCAGCATTGTTCCTTGTATACGTAAGGTACACAGAAGATGCTGGCATTGCAGATGGGGCTTTGAAGTGAGACGGTCCTGGGCCTGAATCTCAGTTTAGCCACTGCTTTCTGTCATCCCAAAATTATGTAACGTTTCTTTTTTAATTTATTTATTATTATTATTTTTTTATTTGTTGGCTGCGTTGGGCCTTTGTTGCCGTGCGCGAGCTCTCTCTAGTTGCAGTGAACGGGGGCTACTCTTTGTTGTGTTGTGTGGGCTTCTCATTGTGGTGGCTTCTCTTGTTGCAAAGCATGGGCTCTAGGTGCCCAGTCTTCAGTAGTTGCAGCACGTGGGCTCAGTAGTTGTGGCTCGTGGGCTCTGGAGGACAGGCTCAGTAGTTGTGGCTTGCGGGCTGTAGAGCTCAGGCTCAGTAGTTGTGGTGCACAGGCTTAGTTGCTCCGCGGCATGTGGGATCTTCCCGGACCAGGGCTTGAACCTGTGTCCCCTGCACTGGCAGGCGGATTCTTAACCACTGCACCACCCGGGAAGTCCCATAAAATTGTGTAACCTTACTGAACCTTGGTTTCTGCATGTGTAAATTGGGGTTACTGTATATAAATAAAGTAGTTGGGTCAGTCTTTTGTATCCAAGTGCTCACAGTGGGGTAGCGGAGAGTACCTCAGAGGTTCGGAACGTGGGCTTTGACTTGGGTTCCTGAGACCTGGGTTCTGATACCTCGCTCTACCATTTACAACGTGAGCAAGTTTCTTAGCCTCTTTTTGATTCCTTGCTTGGAATTAGTTTTGAGAATTATATAAGAATAGCTGGGAGAATTAAATAAGGCCGTGCATGTATAACATGTAATTTGTTTGGTAAAGCCGAAACTGGATACACCTGTACAAACATTTTTTGAACAATAAAAATGTTTGGGTTCATATACAAACTGCTTGTGGGTACAGACACAGCTCACAAATAAAAGAGAGCTGACAGCAACTTTTTCTTGTAATGAGGGCCCAGAGGGCATTCTCCTTTCATCAGCAAAATAAAACGGTATAAATGTTCTCAGTGATACCAATAGGAAGTTATTCTCTGCTCCAATTTATAGAAGACTGAATTGTGCAGTCATATTAATAGTACCCATAATAATGGAGAAAAAATGAGTAGCAAAAATAAATATAAATCACAAGAATAAAGCCTAATTACTTTGCAAATCCAAAATGCAGTTTTACCCATGTCCAGTATACTTAGTGTTAAGAAATGGATTCCTATAAATTTTAATGTGGGGCTTCCCTGGTGGCGCAGTGGTTAAGAATCCGCCTGCCAACGCAGGGGACATGGGTTCGAGCCCTGGTCCGGGAAGATCCCACATGCCTCGGAGCAACTAAGCCCGTGTGCCACAACTACTGAGGCTGCACTCTAGAGCCCACAAGTCACAACTACTGAGCCCATGTGCCTAGAGCTTGTGCTCCTCAACAAGAGAAGCCACTGCAATGAGAAGCCCGCT